AAAGAAAAAAAGAAGAAAAAATAGGAGGGTGGCTTGAAGAGATGGGAGAAAAATAAGTGGAATTTGAGGAGATTTAGAGAGAGAAGTGAGTATGAATAACTTTGAGATTAATGAACATAGATTAATTAAATAACTGAGTTTAATTATTAATTCAATATTATTGGAAATTATTAAATTATGGCTCATTCATTAATTTGCTAACTCTCAAAACTCACTGCTGAGTTTATTTAGTGGAAAATGTCGTTTGAATTTTATTATTATTATTATTATTTTGAGTACTGTCGTTTGAATTTTATTATGTCTAGGAAAAAAGTGTTTCAAAGATAATTATTTGAGAAATATTTATTTGGAGATCTTTATTTAACAAATAAAGATTGGGCCATTTTAATTGAATGGATATCAAGCCTATAATATACGAAAAGTAGGATAATTATTGTTATGGAACGTTGAGATATTACTTCTTTGCTGTGTTTAGTTTTTCTTATTGAATTACAAAATCTCTATTTTTACGCAAGCACAAGATTTCGTTCAAGTTCTAGTGACATTTATGTTCAAGCTTAAGCTTTATCTTTCCGACGTCGTTTCACGACCCATTAATCTTTCCGACATCTTATTTCACTTTTTTGACGATCATTAGTTTTCTGGCTATAGTTATATAAATATATACATTTTAATCTAAACTATAGTATGATAATTCATGTCCAATATGTTATACAATGCCTATATTTTATTGGTATATAGAAAACTATTAGGTTATATAATATATAATTTTTATTACAAAGTATATGCAATATACTATTCCATATGAGAAACTACATCACATTCATAATACCATAAGCTATTTACAAACAATACCATTTGTTGAAGGAGAGATCCGAGCAGGACACGCGTCAAGCATTAGGGAGCATAACGAGATACGAGATCCTAGACGATAGCGTGCGTACGAGCGTGTCCTCCAAAGTTGTACAAGTAGGATGTCGAGGGCTGCAGCCTACGACGTGCAGTTGCAGGGGGACAAACTGACAGACGGAGGAGCCACTCGCTGATTGTCGGAAGTGTTTGCCCCCCTCCGTCAGAGCCTCGTACAGCCCAACGTGCCCCTGCACCTCTAACCACCGTCCTTCCTACTCGGCCATTCACGCCTATAAAAGGGAAGGACACCTTCACTACCAAGTGAAAAGTATATCGCTAAAACCTAAGGTGTCTACTCCTATTTCCTTCTTGCTCTTATTACTGACTTAACCGTTGAAGTATTTAGGCAGGCACCGCGTCATTTGCCCTTCGACAATATATGCTTCTGGAAGACACGTGGACCTCGCCGAAATTCGTCGTCAACACCACTAAAGTATGATTTAACATTACAAGATTTATGGAGCATATAACCAAAATATACTTCATATAAGTAATATATTTTTTTTGATATTACAAAGTATATGGCCAAAATATACTAATAAGTATTAAAAGGGATAGATTATTAGAGTTCTTATCTAACGTCTTCCTCCCTTTAATCTTTGATTCTCCAATTGTCTGCATAATGGCAGCAGGCGGTGGAATTTTGGATTGGACGGAGTCAGATTTCTTTATCGGCCCAAATCACCACTTCTTCGGCCGAAGTCTCCGTCCCCTTCATTCTTAGGAACCTCAATTACTCCTCAAGGTGCAACACCTTTTTTGCCTCAAACCACCACACATGATGTTGGTGAGCTCAGCCGCATAAGAAAATGATACAAATGATTAAGATTTTTGAAAAACACATCAGTTTTTGAAAACTACTTTTTTTTTTTTTTAATTTACATAGGATTTTTTAAAATGGTTTTTGAAAAACAAAATACAAAATTTTGAATAGGTTACCAAACAACCCTATTTTTAAAAAACTTAAAACCAAAAACGAAATTATTATCAAGGACCTTTAGATTTTGAAAAACAAAAATCAGTCTTTGAAAACTTTTTTTTTTAAATTTACGTAGGATTTCAAAATGGTTTTAACCAAAAACAGAAAATTGAATAGGTTATTTAGAGTCCATTTGATAACCATTTTTGTTTTTGCTTTTTGCTTTTTCTTCTTTCTAAACGTGTTTGCTAACCATTTTTAGTTTTTTTTTTGTTTTTAAAGTGTTAGAAAATTTTATGTAGGGTAGGGATGACAATGGTGTGGGTGTGAGTGAGAATGCTCTCCCTCATTCTCGTACTCGTGAAAATTTTTAGTCCCCGTCTCCACCTCGTTCTTCGGTCCGAGAGAGATGTTCTTGAGAAAAATTATCGGTTTTATAATTGTTTTTAATTATTTTTAGAATTTAAGTATAAAAAAAGTGTAATATAATTTTTAAAAATGGAATCGAGGACAAGAACAGGGTCAGGACATGCATTTTTGGATCCAACCCTGCAGAAATTTTTGTCATTCCCACGTAAAAATAGAGATGTAAATAAACTTTTGGAAGATAAATTCTAGAGAGATAGATAATAAGATTTTTGAAAAAAAAATAGTGAATGAAAAGTTAATGACAAAAAAAGAAAAAATTAGAGAAAAAGATTCAAAATATAGTTTTTAGATAAAATAAATAAATACAGAGATAAACACAAGTTACCGTGAAAGAAAATTGAACGAAAAATAAGATATAATTTTCGGAGGAAAAAATAGATTACAAAGAGAAAGAAAAGTTATAAAAGACAAAATTTTACAGAGAAAAATTAGGACAAATATCAAATTTTTAGAGACACAACTGAAAATGGTCTGTTAGACAAAAAAAAATTAAAAAGTAAAATACAAAAAAATTTGGAGAGAGACAAATAATAATAAATATTTAAAATATAAAAATTTTAGAGAGAGAAAAATAAAGTTTGTAGGAAGAAATTTAGGAATAAACAAATTTTAGAGTAAGAAATAAATTTTTTAGAGATAAGCATGAGAAAAAAAAAGTTGAATATTAAAAGAAAAAATAAAATTTTGGAAAACAGAAACCAAACGGATTCAAATTCTTGAAGGATCTTTTTTAGATGAATTTGAAATAGGATAATACGTTTATGGAATGGCCCCTAAATAGCAGCAATTTCCTTTTTGATATTTGATATTCTAGGACTTGAGAGAAGGGTTAACTTGTGTACTTAACCCTAATATTTGATAATAATGAATTATATTTTCACAATTTAACTAGTATTAATCAATAATAACAAAATAAAATTAAATCATGAGTTTACAATATAGAAGAATTAGTTCAACGAAATTAAAATTTTATTTTAATTTTAAAAAATTCTATCTTATCTTTACATTTAAAAATCATAAATCAATTTTATTTCTTTAATAATATATAATAAAAATGTTCCATTTTAACAGATCAAAGTTAAATAGTTAATAAATTAAATAGGAATTTGTAATTCTATAAACATTAGATAAAATATTAAAATGCTTATTTTTACTAAAGAGAGTGTAAACAAAGAGGGTAGAAATAGAAATAGTAAATATGGTAATAACTATGTTATAAGTCCCACTAAATGAGAGGGTAAATTTTTTTTTTTCCGATTGCACGCACCTCAACTAATCTCATGGAAGAATACCTGACTTCACAACATTTGAATGTCAAAGGAACTCGTAAGATATTAAATCCTAAATAGGTGGTCATCATGATTTGAACACATCCTTTGCTATTTACATTGGCCCTTGAAAGCGAGGGTAAAAATTACAAAATAACAAATGAGAAATTGAGACCACAAATAGAGAAACACAATAGATCCGATCAAATTTTCGTAGCCACGATTAAAGGAAATAAAAATTGTTCGTTCTCATTACTCCATACCGATCCCTTGAAATAAAAGGACCTAAAAGTGTTGCTACGCATATATACAAGCATTGTTACAGCAGATTTAAGCCCATGTCATAGAATTGGGGAAATTCATCCCAAAACTTGAGAAAGTGAACTCCCACATTAATTTGACTACAAACCAAGTAGAAACCTCCATGGCCAAAAATAAGGAATCCTCCAAACTCTCTAAATTCCCTCCAATTCATTAAAGTTCAAAAGCTACCAACAAAGTTTAAGAAATAGCTATTTATAGCCTTTACAAGAAAATGAAAATAATTAATCAATCCTAAAACACTAATTCAATAATTAAACCAACCAGAAAAATAACAAATAGACTAATTCATTAACCAAGTCAAAATAAGTCGATAGACTTGGACTTGTTAAACCGCAAGTATATAACACAATCAACTTACTATGCAGAAGAACCATACAATCCACATTTGACGCCAAAAAAACTCGTAAAACATCAAATATCTTTGGTAGGTTACCGCTAAATATTAAACTGTGATTCCAAAAGCAAATGTATCTGCTAGTTACCCTCACCCCTCTTACCTTGATCCATGGTAGCTGTCTGCACACGCTACGGAGTTGGAAAACTAGAGAATAAAGAGCGTTTAATACCGCCCCATCATAACTATTATGCTCAACCCTTAATTTATTGTATGATAGGAAAATATAACTACGTTAATCACAATTTTGAATTACTGATGAGGATTTAGTCTGCAAGTTGAAATTGATATACTAAAAGAAACTAAGAAACTATATTGCAATGTCAAAGAGAAACTATAATATCGATAACCTCTTGAGAGGGCTATCTCTCTCCCAAAGAACTATCTCAAGTTCCTCACACAATACTATTCTCCAAGATATCCTCCTCCCCTAATACTCCTATTTATATCCATCATACCCCTAACTAATTACCATACTGTCCCTTTACAAACATACTAACAATATTCCCCCTATACTCCTGTTAGGTCTCTTACATTATACAATACTGTTCTCCAAGATATCTTCCTTCTCCCCTAATACCCCTATTTATATACATCATACCCCTAACTAATTACCATACTGCCCCTTTACTATCATACTAACAATATTCCCCCGCCTCTCACATCCTCTTTTCTATAAGAGTGAGAGTTTAGGCTCATTGACTTGTCCCTCAACTAATATCATAAAATAACAGTCAGCTGCAGGCTTCAACAATTCACACCAAAAATATGTAGACTATTTATTTATTTGTTTTTATATGAAACCTCTTGTTGAGGAAAGATCGTAGACTAAAAACCAGAACTCTTTATCCCCTGATATAAGATATTCTTAATCACTTAAATATTTGATCATAAAGAAGCAACAAACTCACCCAAATTTCCCAGCTAAAAATGCCTTAGGAAATACACTAAGTATGATAACACTTATGTCAAGAAATTGCACCAGGGTATCGATTCTAAAAAGAATTCTGTAGGCAGCTTCGTCAGTTTAAAATTTAAAGAATCCCTCAAGATTGTCATCTGAATCCTCCTAATAATTCTAATTGAGCACTCTGTCAATAGAATCTCAAACTACTTTCTTCCCCTGCTAAGCCTCTGCAAGTGGTAATTGATGCTTCCCCAAGGTTTCCTGTTTCTGTTGGACTGCACATAAAGTGAGACAGAAAATGCAAGTAACTATCACATTGTGGAGTGCTAAACTAAACAAAAGAAATTTATTGGAAAGCATAAGAAATTCTTGAATTATATCGACGAGTGGCAAAAGAGTCACCTGAGCATCCATGCAAGTATTAAGAAGTTCCTTATTTCTGGTGCACTTATCATCGTTGTTCTGATTAAGAGCTATGCAATTGAGGAATGATATCATTTCCTTCATGCAAGGTTTGCTAAGAGTGCCAAATTTTTTTGGGTTTATATATAAAGTACCAGCTTTCCTCCCCATTCTTACGAACTACAAGCAAAAATAAATGGCAGTTAGACTCGGACATTGCCATTTTGAATTCACCAAAAATCAACAATTAGAAAATATGAAATGATCTAACACCAGCTTTGTTCGAACTAGAGCTTAGCAAATTCCCAAGTTCCGACCCCTTAGAAATAGCAAAAACCAATAAAATTGTATCAAAACCCGTGTTTTTTAAAGCTCGAGGTGCACTAAAGCGTAATAGTCCTTTGAAGCTTAAGCACAAGGTGCAAAAAAAACCGCGGCCTTTTTTTCGAGGGCACACTATATATAAAATTACATAAAGATATATTTATATAGATATGTATGGAAATAAAGGAGGTATAACAAAAAATAAAAAGATAATAAGATATAATATAACATATAAAAGCCAAATAAGATTCGGAAGTTATGTCATTTAATATAAAGTGTCACTGCTCAACAAAAATATCAAAATAATCCTAAAATAGTATGATAATTGCAAATAAAAATCTAAAGATCAAGCTCATCATCACTAAATATGTCTTTTTTTTAATAGGATCAGTAAATAGGTCTTTAGTTTCATCTCTCCATCATTACTTGTAGCCATATGCATCTTCCTCTCGGTATCCTCTTCATCATCAATCAATTCTATGGGTGTGGCTCGTGTGGATGAAGATGAAGATGAAGCTCTAGTTCTAGTTCTTGACATACTTACTATAGAATGATAGGTAGGTTCTTCCACTCTAGAGTTCCACTCTAGAGCTCTCGAAACTGTGAGAGGCCTAATAAGAGTATAGGGGGAATATTGTTAGTATGTTAGTAAAGGGGCAGTATGGTAATTAGTTAGGGGTATGATGGAAGGGGGAATATTGTTAGTATGTTAGTAAAGGGGCAGTATGGTAATTAGTTAGGGGTATGATGGATATAAATAGGGGTATTAGGGGAGAAGGAGGATATCTTGGAAGTTCTTTAGGAGAGAGATAGCCCTCTCAGAAGGCTATTGGTATTGTAGTTTCTCTTTGATATTGCAATATAGTTACTTAGTTTCTTTTAGTATATCTGGATACCTAACAAATTGGTATCAGTGCAAGTTCATCCTGAACATGGATCATGATCGTGTGTTGGAGTTCATGCTAAACATTCAGAGATGTTTGGCCAAAGAAAGTGCTCTTATTAAACAATATTCCCCATATACTCCTATTAGGCCTCTCACATTTGATACCAATTTGTTAGGTATCCAAATATACTAAAAGAAACTAAGTAACTATATTGCAATATCAAAGAGAAACTACAATATCGATAGCCTTTCGAGAGGGCTACCTCTCTCCCAAAGAACTCTCTCAAGTTCCTCACACAATACTATTCTCCAAGATATCCTCCTTCCCCCCGATACCCCTATTTATATCCATCATACTCCTAACTAATTACAATACTGCCCCTTTACTAACAATATTCTCCCTATACTCCTATTAGGCCTCTCATAGAAACATCACCCTAGGTTAAAGAATCATCATCCGTTCATTACTGTCATCAATATTTTTTAAGATGGGACCAATCATGTTTCTAGTCAATATTCTATTATATTTTATGAAGATCAAATCATTCAGACAACTATGTGCATGCTTATTCTTTTTTTGCTATGAAGCTGCAAGTATAAAAGAAACAAGTTCTATAACAATTTTTTTTTTAACAAGAAACGAACTTCTCATTGAAACAATGAAAAAGAACAAAATTATTTAAAGATACAAACTCTCAAAAGAGTGAAAGAAAAACTGGAAACATAAAATAAAACTAAAACTTAAAACACTGCATAAAAACTTCCCAATTAGAATAAATTAGACTAGGGGAATAAGATTTAAATTAGGGAGATAAGGAGCTCCATTGCGAGGCTTTGAATCTAGCAATGTCGAAACGAGCTGAAGGAGACTGCCTCTTTTCTTCAAAGATCCTAAGATGTTAAAAGTTCTATAACAATTCAAACCAAGATGTTAAAAACTTAATTCTCAACGAGAACTAACCTATTAAAAAATACTACAGGTAAGACCTAAACCTCATGGCAAACTTTCAAAAGCGAGAGGTGATGCTGCAGGAAACAAAAAGATGTTGCTAGGTCTCCAGATTCTCTTTGCACAAAAAACACCATTGAGGGGAGATGGATAAATAGGGCATTCGTCTTTGAAGCTTATCATTAGTGCTGATAGCTTTGTGGCTCAAATACCAAATGAAAAATTTTACCTATGTGGAATAAGGGTCCCTCCAAATGGCTTCATAAAGAAGATTCTTCCAATCCGAAGGAGATTGGATGAGGTCGATTACAAGAGACTTGGTTGAGAAGAGACCATTGGTTTCAAGCTTCCATTGGAAGGAATCATCAACGTGTGAAGCTGGACAGTATAGACAGTATAGAGGAGATGTGTTTTTTTTTTTTGGAACAAGATACGAACTTCTCATTAAGATAATGAAAAGGAACAAAATTGTTCAAGGATACAAACTGTCGAAAGAGTGAAAATTGAAATGAAACATAAAGTAAACTAAAAGCTTAACGTAGAGAGGAGATGTGTTAAGGAAGCCCATTTGACAATTTATGCCTCTTTCAAGTTTCTCCTTATGCTTAAGTTCCAGCAATCAGAGCCTTCGTGGCAAACTCTTTTGATCCCTTTTAAAGGGGTGTGATTAAACAGCAAGGGAAATCTTTGAACTAATACCTCTTCGTTCAACCAAGGATCTTGCCGGAAGGATGTTTGTTGACAATTTCCAAATTTAAATCTCAATCGTTTCAAAATCATATTCTGGCTTCGAAGGATCGATTTCCATGGTTCTTTTGCTGTAGTAAGGATGATCAGCCCGGTTTGTGATTCCATAAAGATCTACCATACTTGGCTTCTATAACTCTCCTCCAAAAGGTTGATTTCTCAGGTATGTATCTCCAAGTCCATTTAGCTAATAGAGCTTTGTTTATCAGCTTCATCTTATATAAACCAAGACCTCTTTCATCAATAGTTTGTTGAATGGTTTCTTGCCGAACCAGATGGAAATCTTTGTGCTCACTGCTGCCCTTCCAAAGGAAATTTCTAATAATACAATCAAGAAAATCAGCAACTTTGTTCAGCATGCTGAAGATGGATAAATAGTAAGTGGGCAGGTTGGATAGGGTGTAGCTTGTATGAGGAGTGACTCTTCCTCCTTTGGAAATGAGGGAACTTTTCTAGGTTTGGAGCATTTTTTTTACCTTCTCAACCAATGGATCCCAGAAAGAGGTAGATCTATGACATGCTTCAACAAATAACCTATGACATGCTTCACATAACATGCTTTTCACAACATAACAAATCTTAATCACTTCCAACCATACAATATCAGCAAATTCTTAAAGTTGCAGACAACAATCATGGATACCAGCCATATACATATCCAACAAATAAAAACAGCAAGTTACAATAACAGTACCGACCTCACAACCATGTTCAACAATTAAAATGTAAGAGAAGCACACTTATAATGGAAAATCAGCAAGAACAGTTTCTATTAGCACACAGCAACACACACACCCGCCCATGTGCTACTTACAAACAAGATCCTAACGTGGTACTAAGCTCGCCGCAAGGTTCCTAAATCCAAAGAAAACAATCAAACTTGGGTTAGAGTTCACTTTATAAACACTTAATTTGCTTCGAACTAAGTTTGGGTGATTCGGTACCTACGAACCCACGCCAAAATACTTGGGTTATGGTTGGGTCACTTCCGAAAACGTTCGAGCTTCTAAGATCAAGTTCGAAAGGCTTCGGGCTTGCTGATTCAATGTCAGAAAGCGATGGGTAACGTCGGTTTGGCCCAATTAGGGGTGGGTCAACGTCGAACCAATGACGAGGGTGGGTATCATAAATCAAGCTACGAACGGGTGTGGGTCAACGCCAACTATCATCAGAATAAAGAATACGCCTAAAATTTAAGCTCGAAGTCACCGGGTTCGTGCTAATCGCGTGCTGGTAGCGCGGC